TTAATTTAAAATAATTCTTTCAAATAATACGACTGGATATTTGTCACAAAGAAAACATTTAAGAATATAATACTGAAAACCTCCTTAAGATATACAACATTTAAGTTATTATTTCTCAATTATCAATGATTTCGAATAATTTAACCCTAATTCTAAACTGAGCTCAAGATTCGTAGATGTTTGTTTTCCTATAATGTACAATTTTATTGAGAACTGAACTACATTTTTATCTATCACTGAGAGATAATACACTCCCATTATTGCAATACAGTGCTACGAACTACATTCATTACTTTTCTACCTCAGGTAATGTCACGTACTCTGTCACGTATCCCTATCGTTAGTACGAGGGAATGTTACTCGCATTGATTGAAACCTTACAATGAGGGATGCAGACACACGGGGGGTTTAATTGCAAACAAAAGAACTCCCCTGGATCTGACAAGGAGGTCACGGGGACTAAGTAAAGCACTCTACTGATGCCGTACGAAGAATATAAGCCCTAGCCGACATGACATGCTCTATGATTGCGTAGAATGCACAAAAAGTCGACCAAAATTTTTGAAGATACCACTCGGAAAAATTAATTTTGAACCAAGATTCTTTGTTTTTTCTTATATTTAGAATCAATAATTCTAACGTTATTTTATGATACAAACGATTATCGTTTACATAAATTCAGCATATTTACCGTTTACAAACATTGCTGCAATAGGTTCATAAAACTCTTGCACATTTAACCTATATCCAATCGCGCGTTCAATTTATTTTTATTACCTAAAAAAATACGTTTAACGTAAATCGTTAGAATTGTAATTTCCTAAAGCTATATAAACGTCATAATGATAATACTGACTTGCATCTGGTCAGAATCTTCTGATTCTTTCGTAATTTGACATTTTACGTACGCGTATAACGAATCGGTTTGAGAAATATTTAATGTTAGGTATACCATACGTGTGCTCTCTCGTACTGTACACACTTTTAATCGACCGATAATGTAGTCGCGCGTATTATGTGATTTTGGTTTCTTTGCCAATCAAAACTAACTGTGGTACTGTGGCGTATATTGACTCTACTTTTCATAAATACAGTTATAAAAAACTAAACTGATGTCATGAAAATTGGCATAATTTTAAACAAAATTCTTAGCAAGTTTTTAAATTGATCTGCTTTGAATCTCAGCAACTTCAAAGATTGCCCTGAAATCAACTCTAAATAACTCCTTTAGATCACTCACAAAGAAAGTGTAGAAAAAATCAAACGGGACTTATCCGGTATTCAGTCGGGCAACGTACACCGCCGCATTGCAATGTACAGACGCGTTGTAAATATTTAGATTATCCGTACTTGTGATATACCTGTTTATTTATCCGCCAGCCTCCAGACTGGCATCAACTGACCCGAATGAAAAGCACGAACCGCTAATGAGCGCGATGTATGTTCTAAATTGGACGTAGTTCCGACAGACATAAACATTCGCCTGTTGCCTGTCGGCGTCGGCGCACGTAGTAACTGGAACACCAGTACATCCGTTACTCGTAAGAATTTCTGGTTAAATGTAATCAATGAGATTGTGAAATAGTTGCGCAGGTTTTGATTTAAAGATGTTAGCGGAAGACTGCGAGGTAGTTTTATAGCTCACCGATTGCGCGCACATCCGTCTACAAACTTTTACTTTATGTTTGATCCATTTTTGATGTTGTGAAAATCGGCCACAGGCGTTTGAAGTTATGCCATACACTGATTACCTTTAAAACATTTACTTATTGAATAAATGTTGTAACACTCCAATCAAATCAACTTATTTATTTAAGTTGATTGAACTCTGTGAACTTTAAACGAAAGCTTATTTTGAGTAAGGTCGTGTTATACGTCCGTCGCTATCTACTTTTCTGTTCGTAATCGAAGTAAACGTATATAGAAAATACTTCATTGATTTATCTAATTTTAAGTAAACTTCTGTTACTAAAGTATATCCGTTTTATATGTTCATAATTAATTAGCTTTGAACTAGATTCAAATTCAATGCTATATAATTTGCTATAAATTCTCTTTTATTTACAGATTTTCCAAGAGTGGAAATTGGGCCAGAGAATCCTCTTCGCATAGAAGTAGACGGCACCGCTACAATGGAATGCAAAGTTGATGCCAAACCCAAAGTGACCAGCGTACGGTGGACCAGGAATGGGAAGTACATCTCTAACTCCTTCACTCACACAATCCAAGGAGTGGAAGTGCAAGACGCCG